ACAGACAGAGAGGGAGACACAAAATCTGAAGCAGGGTCCAGGCTTTGAGCTGTCCACACAGAGCCCAGTGTACGGTTTGAACTCACGAACTGTGAGATCATGACCTGAGCTGAAATCAGATGCTTAACTGACTGAGCCATACAGGCGCCCCTATTTATTATTTTTTCAATGAACATTTTTTAATGTTTATTTTTGAGAGAGAGAATGCAAGCTGGAGAGGGGCAGATGGGGAGTGGGAGAAGATTTGAAGCAGGCTCTGCACTGACAGCAGAGAGCCCGATTTCGGGCTTAAACTCACAAACCATGAGAACATGACCTGAGCTGAAGTTGATCATTTAATTGATTGAGCCACCGAGGTGCCCCTTTGATTTTATTTTTTATCTTTTTAGAGAGTGCACATGAGTAGGAAAGAGGGGCAGAGGAAGAAAGAGAATATCTTACTCCATGCTCAGTGTAGAGCCTAATGCAGGGCCCAATCCCATGACTCTGGGATCATGACCTGTGCCGAAATCAAGAGTTCAACACTCAACTGACTGAGCCACCCAGGTGCCCCAATACCTTTTTTTTTTTTTTTAACTCATTCTGACATCCTTTGTCTTTTGTTTGGACTATTTAGTCCATTTACATTTAGAGCAATTATTGATAGATATTTAGTACCAGTTTATTACTTGTTCTGTCATTGTTTATGGAGATTTTCTCTCTTTTTTTTTTTTGTTTTTGTCACTTTTAGTCTTTTCCACTTGAAGATTCCCCTTTAATATATCTTTCAGGGCTGTCTTAGTGGTCACGAACTCCTTTAGTTTTTATCTGGGAAACTCACTTTCTTCTATTCTGAATGATAGCTTTGCTGGATAAAGTGTTCTGGCTCCAGATTTTTCCCATTTAGCACTTTGAATATATCATGCCACTCCCTTCTGGCCTGTCAAGTTTCTGTGGAGAGATATGAAGCTAGCCTTATGGGTCTTCCCTTGTAAGGTAGGGACTTTTTTTGTCTTGCAGCTTTTAGGATTTTTTTGGGAGGGGGCTATATTTTACAAATCTAATTACAGTATGTCTTCATGTTGGCCTGCTTTTGATTTTGGTGGTAATTCTCTGTGCTCCCTGGATCTGGATGTCTCTTTCCTTCCTCAGATTAGGGAAGTTTTCAGCTGTTATTTTCTCAAATAAATTTTCTGCCCCCTTTTCTCTTTCTTCTTCTGGGATTCCTATAATATGAATGTTATGACGTTTGATGGAGCCACTGAGTTCCTAAGTCTATTCTCACGTTCCATAATTCTTCTTTCTTTTGTTCAGCTTCATTATTTTTCATTATTTTATCTGTTGTATCACTTATTCGTTCTTCTGCTTCTTCTATCCCTGTGTTCTCTGCATCTAGTTTGTTTCATATTTCAGTTATTTCATTTATCATTTATAACTGATTGTTTTTTAGCTGTATTATCTCAGGTAAGGGTCTCCCTTTTTTGAAGCTCAGTGAATATTGTATGATTTTTGCTTTAAATTCTCTATCAGAAACATTACTTATATCTATTTCAATTAAATTTCTGGCTGTGACTTTTTCTTGTTTCATTTGGGATTAAGTCCTCTGTCATGGCATTTTATCTAAATCTCTTCCTCTGTGTGTTAGAAAATCCTGTTATGTTTCCTGCTTCTGAGACTAAAGGCTTTATGAAGTAGAGGTCATATAATGTCTAGAGCTTGGCACTTCAGGGAGTGTCTCTGGTATATGTTGTATGCATTCCGCTGCTGTGTTTTGGCTACTGTATCCTTTAGGCTAATCATCTTCAGAGGCTCTCTTTGCTTATAAGGAGCATTGTTTGGACCTTGAACCGAGTTTGCTGAGTTTTAACTACTTCCTCTAGAGCTGAAGGCTTGCAGAACTGGTTAGGGGACGTGGTGTGTGTGGGGGTTTCTGCTGGCCCACTGCACTGGGACTGAGGCATGCTTGCCTGAGAAGTGCAGTACCACCGCAGTGCAGGGGGGTAGGGCATGTGTAAAGCAGATTAGGTAGCCAGTGTAGGCACTGTGCTATTTACTACAGGTGGTTTATGCTGACTCTGGGGGAGAAGAATGGTACCGGGTTGCTCCCTTGTCCCCAGAGAGGGGTCTCCATGCTTGCTGATCTCAGGGAAGCACTCCCAGAAGAGCGAATAGTTTCCCTTCTTGTGTCTCAGGCATTTTTCAGATTGCCATTTTTATGCAGTCTGTCCCTGGGTTGCTTGCCTGCCAGGAGCAGTGCAGTGCACTTAGGACTCTATTGTAGCCAACCCTGCTGACCTATAAAACTACAAACTTTAGGGATGTGGTATGGGCATGGGCCTGTGCTGGTCTTCTGGCAAAGGGTCTTGCTTCACTGGGACTGATGCAGGTTTGATCAAGAATGGCAGTTGTGGGGGCGCCTGGGTGGCTTAGTCGGTTGGGCGTCCGACTTTCGCTTGGGTCATGATCTCGCGGATCGTGGGTTCGTGCCCCGCGTCGGGCTCTGTGCTGACTGCCAGCTCAGAGCCTGGAGCCTGTTTCAGTCTTTGACTCCCTCTCTCTCTGACCCTCCCCCCTGCACGCTGTCTCTCTCTCTCTCTCTCCCCTAGAAATAAAAAAAAAAAAAAAAAGAATGGCAATTGTGCCAGACCTCAAGGTTGTAGGACATGGAGCATAGGCTAGGCAGCCAGTGTTGGGGCCAAGTTTCCCTTGGCAGGCGGCTCTGTGCCTATGCTGAGGGGCAGGGGAGGGAAATAGCACCCCCAGCTCTTTTGTCCTCTGAGAGGTATCACTGCAAATGCTACCTCAGATGCGCTCCATGAGTGAACAGTTTCCCCACTGTGTGCCTTGGACATTCCTCAGATGGCACTGTCTGCCCCAGGTTTGTTTGCCTGCCTTCTTATCAAGCCTGCTGACCTTTAAAACTCTAGTCTTCTAACCCTGCTGGTTGCAAAATCTTTGGAAAATCAGCCCATCTCATTTTCCAAGCCAATGACTTTGAAGAAGTGTTCTGTGCATTCCTGTGTTTTCCTTTCAATCTCTCTCCCCCCTCCCCCACTTCTTCCTCTCTCCCTCCCTCCCCCCGTTTCTCTTCTCTCTGCCACCAGGGCTTCCTCCCCTTTGCAGCACCTGCAGTCCATTTCTACCCCAAACCTTGTGTCCGTGCTTCCTACCTACCTAGATGTGTAGACTCTTGTCTCCCGCTAGTTGTGGTATTTGTTCTGTCAGTCCTCAGGTCAGTTTCTTGAATATTCAGAATGATTTGATAGTTACCTAGCTCTGTAGGTAACTAGAGGAGCCTAGAGTCCTAGTATGCAATTTTAGCTCCCTCACCCAAAAATTAAATTAATTTTAAAAATTCAAATATAATTAAATACTGTGTTATGTTAGTTTCAGGTGTATAATAGAATGATTCAGAAATTCTATACATTACTCAGTGCTCTTCGTTATAAGTGTACTTTTAATCCTTTTCACCTATTTCATCCATTCCCCATCCATCTCCTGCTACCAATTTGTTCTCTATATTTAAGCTTCTGGGTTATATCTTTATCTCCTTTTTTTCTTTATGTGTTTGTTTTGTTTCTTAAATTCCACATATGAATGAAATGTTTGTCTTTCTCTGACTGAGTTATTTCACTTTAGCATTATGTCCTCTAGGTCCATCTGTGTTGTCGCAAATGTTCAGATTTCATTCTTTTTTTTTTTTTATGGCTGAGTAATATTCCATTGTGTGTGTGTGCATGTATGTATACATACATATATCACATGTTCTTTATCCATTCATCTGTGGATTGACACCTTGATTTCTTTCATATCTTGGTTATTGGAAATAATGCTGCAGTAAACATATATCTTTTTGAATTAGTGTTTTGAGTCTTTGAGTAAATACCAGTAGTGGAATTACTGGATAATACAGTAATTATATTTTTAATTTTTTGAGGAACTTTACACTGTTTTCCTGAGTGGTTGCAATGGCTTGCTTTCCCACCAGCAATGTATGAGGGTTCCTTTTCCTCCCCATCCTCATCAATACTTGTTATTTCTTGTCTTTCTGAGTTTAGCCATTCTGATAGGTGTGAGGTGGTATCTCATTGTAGTTTTGGTTTGCATTCCTTGATGATTAGTGATGGTAAACATATTTTCATGTGTCTCTTGATCATCTCTATGTCTTTGGAGAAATGTCTGTTCATGTCTTCTGCCCATTTTAAATTGCATTATTTGGGGGTTTTTTGCTGTTGAGTTGTATAAGTTATTTATATATTTTTGCATGTTAACTCCCTATTGGATATATCATTTGAAAATATCTTTTCCCATTCTGTACATTGCCCTTTTGTTTTGTTGTTGATTTCCGTTGCTGTGCAGAAGTCTTTACTATTGATGTAGTCTCATTAGTTTATTTTGCTTTTGTTTATCTAGACAAAGGAAACCTATCTAGAAAAATATTTCTATAGCTGATTTCACAGAGACTATTGCCTATGTTTTCTTGTAGAAATTCTATGGTTTCAGATCTCCCATTTAGATCTTTATTCCATTTTGAGTTTATTTTTGTGTATGATGTAATAAAGTGGTCCAGTTTCATTCTGCATATAGCTGCCCAGTTTTCCCAACATCATTTGTTGAAGAGACTTTTTCCCATTGTATATTCTTGCCTCTTTGTTGTAGATTAATTGTCATAATTGTGGTTTTATTTGTGGGCTGTTTTGTTGTACTGAGCTGTGTGTCTGGTTTTTTGCCAGTACCATACTGTTTTGATTACTACAGCTTTGTAGTATATCTTAAAATCTGAGATTGTGATACCTCCAGTTTTGTTCTTTTTCAAGATTGCTATTTGATAAACCCCCTGACTTTTGATCACATTTTTGTGATTATTATTGTCATTATTTTTGTCATTATTTATTGTCATTTGAATGATAGGATCATTCAATAGTATTACATTTAATTTAGCTCCAAAGTAATTTTATTTAATTGTAGGTAACATGGTACAGTGTTTAAAAATATTTTTCCCACTATTTAATTCATTGTAGGTATGAATGAAAGTTCATTTTTATCAAAACGTCCTTCTACTTCTGAAGTAAACAGCATTAATCCAAAAAAGCCTAAGCCCAGTGATGGTGTTTCTGGAATAAATTCTTCAGCTGTATTTCCTTCAGTTAAATCTCTTTCAGTGACATCTCCCCAGGCTATATCATCAAAAGGTAAATGCGAAATGTGGAATATAAAAAAGAAATTATAGTATTTATACATAAATTTTAGAAATTATAAATTTACTAACTCTTATTAGTCGTTACTTAAAGTTATAAAAGATGAATTTTGAATTACATATGTTTTGGAAATTTATTTTAGGTACAAATACCTCATCAAATCAATCTAAAAATGGAACACCTTTTCCAAGAGCTTGTCCAAAGTGCAATATTCATTTTAATCTTTTGGAGCCTTTGAAAAATCACATGAAGGTAAAACTTTTTCAAAATTTAATTTTAAAAAAGTTTGCAAATCCCTAAAATATTGATTTATAGTAAATAATGCTTTGTCCAGATATTTAGGTGAAAAAGTCTTCTCATAGTGGTATTTACATATAACTTTTGAAAAGATTTATATTCCTAATGATTATCTTTAAGATTTTTTTTTAATTTTTTTTAAATGTTTTATTTATTTCTAGGCGAGAGAGAGACAGTGTGAGCAGGGGAGGGTCAGAGAGAGAGGGAGTCACAGACTGAAACAGGCTCCAGGCTCTGAGCTGGCTGTCAGCACAGAGCCCGACGCGGGGCTAGAACCCATGAACCGCGAGATCATGACCTAAGCGAAAGTCGGACACTTAACCGACTAAGCCACCCAGGCGCCCCTATTTAAGATTTTTAAATATTCTCTGAAACATCAAATTTTAAGAATTAAGATTATATACATTTTAATGTATGCTTATTATATTCTAGTTTTAATGAAAGTAAGTTATTAATCAGAATATTTTATTTAGTAGATTTGGCATAATTCAGCTTTTAAAAAAAGGCATTTTATAGTTTCTTCAGTTATCATGTTTTTGTGTCCATGGTAACATGTGCATGACACATCGCACCATGAAAATCTGAATTTTACATTTAATTTTCAACACTCAGACTTAAACCCCAAATGATGGAACATTTCATATGAAATAATTATATTCAGAATATAGTTTGTGTAATTGTCCTAAATTAATTTAGGCTTTTTATTGCAATAGGAATGTCTTGAAATTAAATTTTAAGAATTTTTCAAAGTACAAATGAAATATGAGGTGTAGGTAACATTTTACTTGAAATATTTTAGTACATATTAGAGTATCCTCCTGTTGTGTGAGAAAAGATAGCCTGTATTCTCTTTGCATGCCCTGTGGAAATGGCAGAAAGGGGGAAAGAGAAAGAAAAAAGTCCATGTAGATTATATGAAGAAAGAAAGGAAGGAGAAGGGTACAGTTGTAAACAAATAGGTAAGGAAAGTTCTTCTTCACTATTTCAGAGATTGACAAACTCTTATTAAGATACGACATTTTATTAAAAAGGTAGAAAAAGATAAGGGAACTCTTTTAGAATTTCAGGTTCAATCTCTTTATCAGATACAAAACTGAATTTGGTCTGTGACTACTATCAGTTCCCAGAATGTAGTCCCTGATAATTGCACTCTGTGCTTTCTTCTTATATGAGAATTAACCTGTACAGGGACTTTTGGTTATACATAAAATACATCAAGTATCTCATGTTTGCATTTTGGATGGAAAGAAAAAAGGGCTAAATTCTTTAACTTTAATTATTTGATTAAGGAATACAATGATATTATTCAAGATAAATAAGTGTCCAGAGGCATACACGTGAAAAATCTTAACTCTGTCTTTTATTAACCTGGTTCCCAGAATGACTCTCAAAGAAAATAATTTTTATTAGTTGGTTGTTGTATTTTTCCTAACTTTCTTTCTACATATACAGGTAAACACAAATGTTCTTATTTTCTTTCCATTTTGTGTATAAATTGTAGCATATTATATGTCTTTCTGTGTCTGGTAAAATTGGTAGCCATTTTCTGAAATGTAGCTTTACATCCAATATGTGTATTACTCATATTATAAACAACCAAAATTTCATATAATCATATAATATGACACTATGCAACCTTTTATAAAGAATGGAACCTGTAATGGATAATGATATGGAATGATCTCTAAGACGTATTACTGAATTAAGTTAAACATATAATAAGAAAACTTATGTGTATTTATATCATGAAGAAATGTGACAGAATAGTCACCAACTCTAGAACAAGGAAATTTAAAACTTACCTAGACTCTTTTGTGTTCTAGCTTATGCATTTTATATATCAGTTGAAGTTTTAGTATTACAACATGGAGTTCCATTTTGAAAAACTGTGATTTTTAGATTCTTTGCAAATGAATGTTTGCTATTATAGATAAGTAGAATGACGGTACTACAGAAATAATATTTTCTCTTTCATTAAAGAATATCTAAAACGTAAGGCAAATATCCTACAATAATAAGAACAATATGTTTATCTGAGACCATGTGCCAGACTACTAAACTTTAAATACTGTATTTTATTTAACCTTTAGAAAATTCTTGCAAGGGCGCCTATGTTCATCTGTTTTGTTTTTTTTTAATTCCACGTATAAGTGAAATCCTATGATATTTGTCTTTCTCTGACTGTCATTTTGCAAAGTACATTCTAGGTCCATTCACGTTGTTGCAAATGGCAACAACAATATTTTGAAGTGCCGAGTAATATTCGTGTGTGTGTGTGTGTGTGTGTGTGTGTGTGTGTGTGTGTGTGTGTCTCTCTCTCTCTCTCTTTCCATATATATATAGACCCACCACATCTTCTTTGTCTATTCGTCAGTCATTGGACATTTGGGCTCTTTCCATAATTTGGCTATTGTTGATAGTGCTGCTATAAACATTGGGGTGCATGATCTCCTTCAAATCAGCATTTTTATATCTTTTGGATAAATACCTAGTAGTGCAATTGCTGGTCATAGAGTACCTCCATTTTTAATTTTTTGAGGAACCTCTGTACTGTTTTCCAGAGGGGCAGCACCAGTTTGCATTCCTACCAGCAATGAAAAAGTATTCTTTCTCCACGTTCTCACCAGCATCTTTGTTTCTTGAGTTGTTTATTTAACCATTCTGACAGATGTGAAGTGGTATCTCACTGTAGTTTTGATTTGTATTTCCCTGATGATGAGTGATATTGAGTGTCTTTTAATGGGTCTGGTTGCCATCTGGATGTCTTTGGAAAAGTATTTGTCCATTCTTCACTGGGCTACTTTTATTTTGGATGTTGAGTTTGAGAAATTCTTTATTGTTTTTTGATACTAACCGTTTATCACACAATGTCATTTGCAAATATCTTCTCCCATTCTGTTGGTTGCCTTTTAGTTTTGTTGATTGTTTACTTAGCTGTGCAGAAGCCTTTTATCTTGATAAGGTGTCCAAAGTTCATTTTTGCTTTTGTTTCCCTTGCTTCTAGAGACATGTCTTGTAAGAAATTGCTGTGGCTGAGGTCAAAGAGATTTCTGCTTGGTTTGTTCTCTAGGATTTAGATGGCTTCCTTTCTTACATTTAGGTCTTTCATCCATTTTGAGTTGATTTTTGTATATGGTGTAAGAAAGTCCAGATTTACTCTTTTGCATGTTGCCGTCCATTTTTCCCAACACCATTTGCTAAAGAGACTGTCTTTTTACCACTGAATATTCCTTACTGCTTTGTCAAAGATTAGTTGGCTCTATATTTTTGGGTCCATTTCTGGGTTTTCTGTTCTGTTCCATTGATCTACGTGTCTGTTTTTGTGCCAGTAACACTATCTCGATGATTATTGCTTTGTAATATAGCTTGAAGTCCAGAATTGGGATGCCTTCAGCTTTGGTTTTCTTTTTCAACATTACTTTGGCTATTTGGGGTTTTCTGGTTCTATACAAATTTATAATTATTTGCTCTAGCTCTGTGAAGAATGCTGGTATTATTTTGTTAAGGATTGCATTCAATGTGTAGACTGCTATGGGAGGTATTGACATTTTAAATTATTTGTTCTTCCAATCCATGAGAATAGAATATTTTTCCATTTCTTTGTGTCTTCTTCAAGTTCTTTCGTAAGCTTTCTATAGCTTTCCATGTATATCTTTTAGTTGTTTGATTAGATTTATTGCTAGGTATTTTATGGATTTTGGTGCAATTGTCAATGATATTGATTCCTTGATTTCTGTTTCTGTTGCTTCATTATTGGTGTATAGAAATGTAACTGATTTCTGTACATTGATTGTATATCCTGCAGCTTTGCTGAATTCATGTATCAGTTCTAGCAATTTTTTGGTGGTTTTCCATGTAGAGTATCATGCCGTCTGTGAAAAGTGAAAGTTTGACTTCTTCCTTACCAATTTGGATGCCTTTTTTTTTTCTTTTTGTTGTGTGATTACTGAGGCTAGTACTTCTAGTATGATGTTGAACAACACTTGTGAGACCAGACATCCCTATCATGTTCTTGACCTTAGGGGGAAAGCTCTCAGGTTTTCCTCAGTGAGGATGATATTAGATATGGGTCTTTCGTGTATGGACATTATGATGTTGAGAGATGTTCCCTCCATCCCTACTTTCTTGAGAGTTTTTATCAAGAAGAATGCTGTATTTTGTCAGATGCTTTTTCTGTATCTTTTAAGGGAATCATGTGGTTTTTATCCTTTCTTTCATTAATGTGATGTATCACATTGATTGATTTGTGGATATTGAAGCACTCCTGCAGACCAGGAATAATCCCACTTGATTATGGTGATTAATTATTTTAATGTATTGTTGCATTTAGTTTGCTAGTATCTTGTTGAGAATTTTTGCCTCCATGTTCTTCAGGGAAATTGGTCTGTAATTCTCCTTTTTACTGGGGTCTTTGTCTGGTTTTGGAATCAAAAGAATGCTGACCTCATAGAATGAGTTCGGAAGTTTTTCTTCCATTTTAGTTTTTGGAACAGCTTTGAAAGAATAGGTGTTAACACTTCTTGAATGTTTGGTAGAATTCCTCTGGGAAGTCATCTGACCCTGGACTTTTGTTTGTTAGAAATATTTGATTATGGATTCAGTTTCTTAACTGGCTATGGGTCTATTCAAATTGTTTACTTCTTCATGTTTCAGTTTTGATAGTTTATATATTTCTAGGAGTTTATCCATTTCTTCCAGATTGTCCAATTTGTTTGCATATAATTGCTCATAATATTCCCTTATTATTGTTTGTATTTTTATGGTATTTGTTGTGATCTTTCCTCTCATTTGTGATTCTATTTTTGGGTGCTTTCTTTTTCTTTTTGATAGATCTTGGAGTCTGTTAATTTTATTAATTCTTTGAAAGAACCAACTTAGTTTTGTTAATATGTTGTACTATTTTTTTGATTTAGAAATCATTGATTTCCACTCTAATCTTTATTTCCTTTCTTCTG